TTTTCGCGAAGATGCTTTAAAAAAGTAGATTAATTATTATCATCTCTTTTTTTTTTATAATTGGTGTATTATTGTTTTAGGATTATGTTATCTAATTCTTTAATATATATCTTTATTTACCATTGTAAAAATCAAATGTTTTATTTCTCACGGCCAAATTTAGATATGATTTTAGAAGATCGTAATGATCCTAGTGGCCAAATTCGTGAACATAGTAAAATACATGTTCTAAAAAAGAATAGAACTCTACAACAAATAATTTTTTAACAAAATCTTTTTATTACATTGAAACTAAAGACTATTCTATCGCTATTTTTTAAAAGGTAGGTCAGAAAGTGACTTCTATACTTTTTAAAATTTGCGCAAGATTTAGGATGTCTTTAGACCGAGCCAACTATGCTTCGTATGATGCTTTTGGTAGATAAAAACGGACGGTCTTTTTTTTAATGGTTAATATTAGTATTGGTCGCTTATCCCCCCCCCCCCCGTTGTATGTGAAATTGAATCTATAAAATTTGGAATGGGGTATTAGATATGAAATTCTGATTGGCTGAATTCACATAAATTTTCATTTTCCCCAAAAATTTTTTTTTTACCTTTTATTTTTCTAAACATAAAAAATATAAAATTTTATTTGAAAAATACTTTTTTAAACAATGAATTTAGCTTGGTTTTAAATTTAAACAATAAATATGCCAGTCATTATTTTTTTATGTTATAGAATCAATATTACCCATATTAATATAAGATTGAATTACACAATACATAATAATGACACGAAATCATTTTTACGAATTCGGATCTATTTAATATTAATTCGGTTAATAGTGAATCCAATATGAATTAATAAATAATAAATTTTAATAAATAATATGGCCCATATTAATTTAAGATTAATTACACAATGCAATAGTATTCGGGTTAATAGTAAATCTAATTTTATAGGCTATAATAAATATAATTGAATTAATAAATAATCAAATTTCTATTTAGTTTTAAAGTTGATGTGTTAGTGTAACCCACACTATACAACAATGTCATGAGCATAACTTGTGGCCACGTGATCAAATTAAACCCAGCTGAAGAAATAATTTTTTTTTAACAAAGAAATGTTATTATCTTTTCTAGAGATAAACTGTAGAATCACGATTGGTCAATTAATTAATTTATTCCATCAATATTATATGTATATGCATTATAATATAATATTTATATGTTTTAATCACGCTCCAATAATAAATATGATAAATATATAATAATAATAACCTTTTCCAGCAAAAACAGTCTTCGAGGTCATCTGACCAAATTTGATGTTTTTTTTTATAATATGAAATAAAGATTTAATTTATAATATAAGGCTAGATATTTTAATATTAAGTACATATTTTTATATAACTATTCCATATATATTTATATGAATCTTATTGATATTTAAAGTTGAAAATGATCGACATAATATAAAAGGAATGTTTTGTTTAGAAAAGTCACTCAGCCCTGATCATTCCTTAAATATCGTCATAAAGGTTTTTTACGCTCTTTTTGAGCAATTTTGTAATTCTTTATTTTTATCAAGTGTTGTATTTAATCCCTCTTTTTTTTTTGCCTTTTTAGTTCTTCAATTATTTGCTCATATTCGATAATGCCAATGTAATATATCCTCTGTCTTCTGATTTTATTTGTGTATCTGACAACTCTCTATAAGCTGTGTTTCTGGATCTGGTAAAGGAGTTTGGGTTTGTTGTGTCTTAGTCTTTTTGTTTTGACTATTTTTCTTCAGTTTCTTCTAAAGAAATCAAATTATCTCTTTTTTTTGCAAATCTCCGCATTAGATTCTTTTTTGTTCCACGTAATGAATATTTTGTGGTGTGGGACTCAAATAAACAATGCAATTCACTAGTAGCTAGTCTTGATTTTCCAAATTGGAAAGAGGATTGATTTGGAAGAATTCGTTGTTGATGTCGCAATTGTAGCTGACGTTGTTATTGTTATAATTGGTTTAGTACAATATTTAGTTGGGGAGAATAATGCGTTTTAATTTTTTGAAAAAAAATTTTAGAAGCAGAAAAAAAATATCTCTCATCATTAGCTCGGACTTCCTGGTCTGGAATTCCACAATTCAAATGTTGCCGTATGTACTGTATCATGCGCACAAATTTATTACGAAAAATATTCTGAAATTAGTTAAATTCTAAATATCTTTTAGCCTCTAAAAAATTATTTATTTTAGTCTTGTGATACTGTTGTGGGGAAAAGAAACAATAAATTAATAATTCTATATTTGTTATATACACCTAAGCCACTAAGCATGATATACTTTCCTTTTAACAAATTAGATCGAAACCTTGAACGTTCTTTTCATAAAATTAGTTAGCTACTATTATACACGTATATGTACTGTATCATCTGTCCTAGTTTCCCTTTTTGGACTTAAACTAATTTGGAAAATTTGATTATCCGTCAAACCTATTACTCATACTTGCCGCCCAAGGTCAAATTCCAAAATTCGAATCTATAAATTGATCTAGTATGAATTGGTAAGTTAATTAGCTTTTTTAAATAATTCCTTCTTCTAATCCCTTTAAGTTATATGGCAAATAGTTTAAGACTGAATTGGATTATAAAAAAGGCTTTGATTAAGGAATAATACGAAAAATGAACGCCTAGACATTCTTCCTCATATTTTTGAAATCATATGGTAAATACGACAATAGCATCATATGTTAGCTGATTTCTGGACGCTAGAATTAATTAAGGTAAAAAATTACATATAAATAATATTATGGCTCCTAAAAAATAAAATTTTAATCACAAAATCGATTTCAAAAATTTTTATTTTGAAATTTGGTCTTAAAATTTTATCAAAACGATCAATGAAAAATACAATGATGGGATCTCTTTTTACCATTGCAAACTTGTCAAATGGCAAAAAAATTACGATTTATGCGCCTGATCTTGAAAAAGCACAAATACTTGTTGAAAATAACGCAAATTCGGATTTGCCACCTGCACAACTAATTTTTTATCTTACCTTGTTAAACGAGATT